TATACATTATATTATCATAAATAAATAAAATACGTCGGTAGCAATAATTAACGAATAAGGCCAATAATAATAAAATAAGAGTCATTACACGAGTAATATAGTTTTTATTCAATAAAAACATACCTATACCCAATAAAAAATGCTACGTCGCTTCATTTGTTGTCAGTGTATTTAAATAGAATGTAACATATATGGTTGATTAAAGCGGTATAAAGGTAAGCATAAAATATGAAGGGAAAACATACATATTTTCAACAATACAGAAAAAGATACACAAAAAAAAAATTGGTATATTTTCCGCAATTTTCCCCTTGTTAAGTAAAAGAAATTTCTTTTGATACTTAATTGAATTTCTAGTTGCATGCGCATATTTCTTCATATAAAAACAAAAAAGAAGGATTAAAAAATACGTACAATCTTGCAAAATGTCTATTTATCTATCTATCTAAATGCATAATGAAATTAATAAAAGGCATTTATTAACAAATTCTTAATCTTATTAAAATATTAATTTGAATTCACGTTATAATGAGAGGTAGGATAAATGTGAACTATGCAGTTATATATGTATGTATGTTGGTACTAATAGACGCTCTAAAAATTATTAGTTAATGTATTAGAGTTTCAAACAAATTATCTATATCGTTTAAAATATTTCTTATTTAAAAGTGCTTTTAATTAGTTTAATTAATGACAAGCCTACTGACTACTGTTTAACACTATCATATAAATACATACGTAAGTACTACTATTGGTAATATTAAATCAGAGGTTCATCGGTATAAGATTATCTAAACAGATTCTTGTACTTTGGCCTATTAATTTGGATACATTCATATAAAAGGGATTAATACAATAATAAATATAAAAATATCGACCGTATATGAAATCAATGGCTAACAGAACCGCGGCGAAGTAGTAGGGGAATGGCTGAAGCAACGTTGCTAACTTATCGATGTAGCTGATTCATCAAACGACTGCCCCACTACCTGTATACTTTCATGTTCAAGTGGACGTAGAAGTGTTGAATCCGTCGTAGAAGACGGTAGATTATTAAGTGATCCCTCACAATAGAAAGAATGGCACCGGCACTCAGTAAATTTGTAAGTAGACGTACAGTGGTTGGTGCTTGTGCTTTAACTACGTTAATATGGATTTTAAAACGGAGGAACCGAAAACAAGTTGCGAAATACAGGTAAAATTTCTGTACATACGTATACATGTGGTTATTGGAGCTGCCGTTGTGATATTAAACATTTAGTTTATCTCGTAGAAATGCTTGGCCCGTTAATGACATTCAGTATGTTATTAAAGAGGTAAGAAAAAATGATTTTTTATTATTGCATATATTTTGATAGTTAAATATATGGAACTAATTTTTCCTGTAGGTAAAACCAAAACAGCCAAAAGCTCATGTAAATGCAAGATTTTTTCGACAATTGCATCAATTACTCAAAATGGGCATACCTTCGTTAGTATCCATTGAATTTGGCTTTGTTCTTCTTATCGCAGGTACACTTGTTGCAAGATCTTTTTGTGACCTTTGGATGATAACTATAGGCACTTTAATTGAATCGTATGTAATAATTCTTTTGTTTTTCAATTTCGATTATATTACAGGTATCGTATCAAGGTGTATTAACTTTTTGTTTGCTTTTTTAGATCAATTCTTAGTATGGATGGACCTTTATTTAAAAAGCGTTTGCTTAAATTCTTGGTTGTATTACCAGTGGTAAGTGAATAAGTTTAATATACAAATATTAGAGAGAAGTTGCTTTCCTAGGCTGCTAATGAAATCTTTTCATTCAGGCTGCCAAGCAGCTTTATTTTCTTACTTAGAAGATATCTTCTTAACTGGAAGAAATTATTGATATAATCTTCCATGATTATATTTATTTAGATATCTGTTGTGAACAACGTACTGAAATATGCTATATATGAAATGAAGTTGAGGTTACGCACAAATATCACACGAGATTTAATGGATCAGTACCTTAAGTAAGTCAAACTCCGTTTCTTTTTTACTAAACCATAACATTAAGTGCAATGAAGTTTGTATAACAATAATTTATTATAATGTTTAGGGATAAGAAAAAAAAACCTTAATTTTTTTACATGGATTGGTATTATTTATGAATTTGCCTTTTAAAGTACATGAAATATGATTAATATTTATCATTTTTACAGAGGCTTTACTTATTACAAAATGAGCAATTTAGATAACCGTATAGCAAATCCAGATCAACTTTTAACCACTGATGTTGATAAGTTTTGTGAAAGTTGCACAGACCTGTACAGTAATGTTGCAAAACCTTTATTGGATATTTTCATTTATGTTTATAGACTTACAACTACTCTTGGTGGTGAAGTATGTGAAATAATTCCCATAAATAATATCATAATATATTTATATTAATGCATATAATGTATTTTATAGACGCCAATAATTATGCTTTCTTATCTTATTTTCGCTGGTATGCTAATAACTCATCTACGTAAACCTATCGGTCATATGACGGTGAAAGAACAACGTCTTGAAGGCGAATACCGTCACGTTAATTCGAGGATAATAACTAATTCTGAGGAAATTGCATTTTATCAAGGAAATAATAGAGAAAAATTAACTTTATTAGCTAGTTTCCATAAACTTGTAAGTTGTATAAAATATATGATAAACAAACTCTTAAAACTTTAATCCATAATATAAAAAAATATTATTTTTTATAGGTGACTCATCTTCGTAAATGTCTAGAGTTTAGAACTCTTATAGGAGTAATTGATAATTTCATTGGCAAATGTAAAACATCGTTACTTACGTAGTTAACAATCTAATTACTAGTCCATGTTAATTATAATTTTCAGTTTAGTATGATCTATTCTTTTTTCAGATATGGCGACTATAATAGGTTTCTATGCGGTAAGCATACCTTTCTTCAAAAAAAACCATCCTATCCTCTCAGGACCCCCAAACCATCGATTTAAGAGTTATTATACGTACGGTCGTATGTTAGTAAAATTGGCGGAAGCCATAGGTAGATTAGTGTTAGCTGGAAGAGAAATGACGCGACTAGCAGGATTCACCGCCAGAGTTACTGAAATAAAGGTCGTTCTCGACGACATAAATACTGGAAAATACGAAAGAACGATGGTTTCTGATTTCAAAGATGAGCCAATTGGAAGCCCAGGTGAAGGAAAAATAGTAAACAAAGATAATGTAATAAGATTTGATCGTGTGCCTCTGATAACTCCTAATGGCGATGTTCTTATCAGAGAACTATCATTCGAAGTTAAATCAGGAATGAATGTGTTAGTTTGTGGTCCAAACGGCTGTGGAAAGAGTTCTCTATTTAGAATCCTCGGAGAAGTAAGTTATCATAATCTTTTCTTCGATGACAGTTTAATTACACTTTACTCTTACTTATATTCCGATTTATGGAAAATTGATAAAACAGTTGTGGCCAGTTTGGAGTGGAACTGTTACTAAACCTCCTCGAGGAAAATTGTTTTACATTCCTCAACGCCCTTATATGACTCTCGGTACCTTGAGAGATCAGATAACTTATCCTCATACGAAAACAGAAATGATAAGACGCGGACAAATGACGGATGAAGATTTGAAAGAGTTATTGAATCTGGTTCAATTAAGTCACTTATTGGAAAGGGAAAGTCTAACGAATAGCGAGGGACAAGGTTGGGATGTTGTGGCTGACTGGATGGACGTTTTGTCTGGTGGTGAAAAGCAGCGTATCGCGGTACAATTTTTTATTATTTATTACAAAAACAAATATATATGTAAAACAGTTAAAACAAAATATAGGATAACATCAATTATAAACAATATTTATAGATGGCTCGACTCTTTTATCATAAGCCACAATTTGCAATTTTGGACGAGTGTACAAGTGCTGTTAGTGTGGACGTCGAGGACTCCATGTACTTGTACTGTAAACAGGCAAATATTACATTGTTCACAGTATCGCATCGACGATCTCTTTGGAAACATCACGAGGTTTGAAAGACATTCATTTCCTTTATTTCAAAGTAATCTAATTAATATCCAACAATAATAAATATATTTATATTTATTCTTAGTACTATTTACAAATGGATGGAAAAGGAAATTACGAGTTCAAGGCAATTGAACCGGATACGAAAGAATTTGGATCGTGAATTTTCATGTCCCTTGCATCTAGTTATACTGTCACAATGCAAGGGACTGTTTTATGTTCGATTAATCTCGAATAATTTACATGTAAATTTGCAGTGTACAGCGCATCTATGTATGTATTGTATGTATTTCTGTGTTAAAATTGTCTTGGTTCGCGAGTATTATATTATTGTATACTGTATATTTTTATACACTGTATTTTTATATACTGAATATTTTTATATCGATGTCTTTTATGAAAAGTGGAAAGGATTAACGTGAAAGAACGTTAACATACATTGCAATTTAGACCTTAACGTAATTGACTTGTTTAAGGACAAAAAATAATTTGTAATTTAAATGTTACTGTATCGATGCATGTTCTTCCAATTTTGTCAAAAAGAAGAAAGAAACTATGGGAACATAATATTTTGGATGTAACATTAAGCTATCGGAGTAACATATTCTATAACAATTATGGTTTGTTATGTGTAGATCACATTAATTAAACATTGCCAGAACATATATTGAATTGCTGGACAATAAGAATGTGTAATAAAATTCGGTGGTGAAAATCATATTATATTACTATTAAGTTCTCAATATTTACTCGAAGTATCTTTTACATATTAGAAGAAAACCATTTTTTAATAAAATTCTTTAGAGAATTTAAGTGTTCTTAAACACTAGTGTTTGTTGAAGAAGAATAAATGAATATCTGAACCCGTTCAAATTTCCCTCTTTTTAAACATGGCGTTGGTTCGTCTCGACGCTGCCATGTTGGTTGACCGTTGATCGTTCAGAGAACGCAGTATTGAAATATCGAGTGCTAAATCCTGACGTCACCGAAATTTTGATCACGTGATGAAAGATTTAGGCTTGGAGTGGGAATCCTTACTCCTCCAAACAGTATCCACCCCTCACCCCTACTCCGACCTTACGGAGGAGTAAGGATCCCTACTCCAAGTCTAAATCTACTCGTCACGTGACCAGAAGTTCAGTGACGTCACGATTTAGCACTCAATATCCCAATCCCAACACTGCAGAGAAGCTAGGCCGGGTCTGGGAAGCTAGCAAAAGTCCAGGCTTTCGGCTATTCAGTTGCTAGTGGCTGGTCACTGAGTTTGTTTAGTAAGGGGTTGTTTGCAGTGCGTGTGTGCGCGCGTGAGGTAGATAAGAATAAAGCTGGGAGTATTCTGTGTTGAGTAAGAAAGAACAAAAGAAAAGAATCATATCATGTATGTGTATAATAATGTTGAAAGAATAGTGCCAGTGAATTAAAACGTCGTAAAAGGAAAACGATTTTGAATCTATTTGTAGAATCGATTACATATAGTAGTTCATATACATTTTCAAGAATTTCATAAATTCTTTTTTTTTGGATTTGTCTCCACCTTTCTTTATCTTCGTCTCTCCCGTTTTCCTCTACCTATCTCCGCCTATCTTTTGACTGTGCTGATCGTGTCTCTTTCCTTGTCTTTCCCACCTCGTGGCGTGCGCGTTCCTGAAGACACCGTGGCCGGACCTTCCGCGATACTGCGGTTGTGCGACGCAAACGAGTGTATCTCGGACAACTAGGACGCCGGGAGCACAGGTGCAGGTGCGGGTGCGTGTATATAGTCGTACAAATCGTGAGGACGTAGGCTGGAACGAGGTAGGTGTGCGAAGTTGGCGACACGGTTCCATTGTTGTCGGTAGTTGTCGTGGCAGAATGGACGGTAGCACGGATCCTCCGTCAGACTTGACGGCAATGGATAGTGAGAACGAAGCAAGATCAAAAACGCAACAAGGCACCGACGATAGGACCAATTCTTCTGCATCATCTGGGACGGCCACCACCAGTTCCACATATTCTACGACGCAACCTGATCAGTCAGCAGAATATTGCGGTCAAGGCTCGATAAGGACCGGCTCGGCTTCTCCACTCCCTATGACCTCCTCGTCTTCTTCATCGTCATCGTTGTCGTCCTCCTCCACGCCGCCACCGCAACCGGGGTGTGGCTGTGTCGCCGCCACTGTCCTCGAACCCGACGAAATTACGATCAGCATCACGCCGACCACCGGTGGACAGTTTGATCTTACGGTCGACCGTACTGATACCGTTGAAAACCTTAAAAAGATCATCTCGAAAAGGTTGAAGGTCGCGAAGGAACGTATTTGTTTACTACATCGTGAAAGGTTGGTACATCGAAATATTTTGTGTATGTATGTGTATACACGCGTGTGTTACGATCGCTTTAAATCGTTCCAATTTGTTCATCGTAAATAATAGTCCTAACCGTTCGTTACTTAATAAAAATCGAGATTGTGATAGGAAAAAAGTAAAGAACAGAATCGTTACAGTAATATATCAAAGTTACCGATAAATCGATAATCCAGAAAATCGCAATCAATTTCGGTGAAATTTTCTCGCAGTTTGATTTTAAAGGGGAAATTAGGTATAGATCTCATTCCTTGTACTTCTCTCATTGAAAGAAAGAAAAAGAATGGTAGGTAAATGTGTACGCGATATCGTTGTTGCTGCGTGTATGGTGTGGCTGGAGAAGTGCGAGAGGAAGAACGAAAATAACGTCGACGCGACGAAAGAAAAGGAGAGAGTAGGCATAATACTCGTAGGCGTCGTGGGGGCCACCGCACGGGCTGATCCTCCTCCTTCGTGCAAGCACGCGAGAGAAACATGGTGGAGAGGAAGGTTGGCATACCATAGACTCGAAGTAGGAGGAGATGGAGGTGGTGTAGTAGGTAGAATATCTCGAGAATCGCGTTCTGGTAAAATGGAACGGTGACAGCCCTCTGCAGTGAGAGGTAGAAGAAGAAAGAAAAACAGTTGGATGGAAAAGACGAGAGACAGGGCTGACTATTCCCGTACACAACACATCGATGGAATTTTCTCTTCTTGAAGTCTAAGCCTTTTCGTTTATACTCATGTTCTTGGTCTTCACCGACGACTTCTCCATATTTTCTATAATTGCAATTCTTTAAACAGTGTCAAAGGAAAAGCATCGTTTGAGAATTCGAGTTTAAAAATGCACGAAGTGTACATTTCTCGAATTAAAAATTTTTAGATATTAAATTCGATTATATCTGTAAAAAAGAAAAAATTCAAGAATTCGAAGGAAAGTCTCGCTTTCTTTCCAAAAGTTGCATCGAAAAGAAACGAATGAGTGCCTCATTACCACTTATTCTCTGTCTGCCCTGCCAGCCAGTTTCAGGCGCAGGTAGCATACGCCGGTTGGTTCTTCGTACGCGTGTGTGTTTTCCTCGTCTCCTCTATCGGTGTAAATGCGACACGTGCACATGCGAAACCGTTTGTCGTTTCTCTTTTTATGTTTCGTTCTATACTTCCACGACTTTGTATGCATATCGCATTAAATATAAAATGGATTATCGATTTTACTTTGTTCATATGAGCTTAATTTCCTCTGTGAAAATATCGAAATTAACCGGTATTGGTCTATCCCGTTTGTTGCCAACTTTTCTTCTTTTCATTAAATTTCATGCCACATATGCCTTTTTAAGAGCATCGTACTGTTTTGTCGAACTAAACCAGTGTTAACTAATTTTTTGTGAGTCGGTGTCACATGGATCATTGAAGGCTTTTTCAGTCTATATTAAGAATAAAAATTGTTTTAAAATTGAAGGATACAATTATTTGCGTTAAAGTTACCTTTGAGATATTTAAATAGATGTTTTATCTAAAAAGGTTATATCTTTTATTCGGTTGCAATTCGAATCACGTTAAAAAACAAGTTTTTAGAGATAATGCAACCTTACCTTAACTGTTTTGTGTCACTATTAAACATGTGTCATCGAGAGTTTCATACCTGTTAGTCATCCTCGTTGCACATACAAGGAGTAAACTTTTCCATCCAATTATTTTTATCATCGAGGCTTATTTAAGGATTTCTTGTTACGATAAATAACAAAATTGCAAAGTTAATGTAATTTATCATTTTGTAATTAATACAAATTTTACAGATTTTAACAACGTGATTTGAAGGTTACCAAAGGTCTTTTTTCGATAACCGTAGGTAAAGAAGAAATCGACGTTTATTATATCACAGGCATATAGACAGAAAATGTCTCTGAATTACGTTACTTTTACTTTTGTATTTATATTTGCTCGGATTTCGATGTAGTTTATTCTTAGCACCATTCGTGTGGCGCGCTTTTCTCTTTTTCATTCATATCAGCCTGCACTAGAAGTATATCATTTAGTGATTCAATCGTTATGAATACTGATTTGTGAAATGGATAAGCTTCCCAGAAAATATGTCTATATCGTAAACTATATTATTTTAAACGTATCGTATAGTATAGTATTATACTTTGTTCGTTAGATAAATTTAATTTTAAAGATATATCCATATAAAAGTGTAAGGTAGTGAAATTAGTGTTTTTGTTGATTCTGATATAACAGTATTTTTTAAAATCGACTTTAAAAAGAGGTTGTGAAAAGGGATAAAGGTCAAAGGCTTGATCTCACTAGGATCTTCACGAAAACCGTTAAAACTAAGTAACGCCAGTCTCGGGAGAATCTACCACCCTCGTATTTCCACTTTCAACCGACCAATCGCCAGAGGTCTCTGTACTATCTCGATTCATCAACTAGAAATTCAATTGTATAGATAAAAAATTGCTCTCTAACGACAGAATTAATCAAGAATTGCTTTATATTCTACTTTCGTGTCGATGTAAGTCATAAAATGATATTTTCCTAAAAGTAATATCGAAGAAATTCGTGGAATGTAATATGCATTTACAGAATTGATGCCAACCATAAGAACGCTGACGAGGGATTGTTTGTATTTTCGCAATCGTTTCAGTGACTGTTCGGTTAATATTTTTGAACATATGTTAACTGTACTGTACGTTGTGACGAATAAGAAACACAATTGAAAAATATATCGTATGATTGATCTATCTTGTTTTTATTAAAAAAAAAAAAAAAAAAAAAAAAACGTTGCTAATAAATATCAGTCGGGCGTTACCCTACGTTGTATAATCACAGTGATGCTAACGGACGTAACAATGGCGTACCGTCGGCTAGATTCTCGTCGTTGGTTAAATCCTAATATATTTTAACCAGTTGTATCTTATTTGCGAATGATATCGACCAAGATTTTCATGCCTTAATTTTAGACCAAATAAATTTAAAAATGAAAGTGAAAATAAGATTAATATTACCGATATCTGCGTTTGTGTTAGACAAATATAATCAAATAAACAAATAAGATGGGAAGGAGTAGAATAGCGAAGAAAATTGTAAACCTATCCAAATTGTTCTTTATTATTCGTCGGTAATAAAAAGTATTTTGCATTCTTGGAGAGTTAAACCTTTTTCTAATTATGCAAAATATAAGTATAACGTGTCTCGGAGGTAAACATTCTACGAAATAAGTTGCACAATGATCTTCGCGACATTCCAAGTCGATATCAATTCCTCGTACGCTATTTGCGGCTTCATTCGATGTCTGCTATTGCGATAATGCGACTTATCGTATTGTCTAATCTCTCGAATCATGCCGCTCTGTTATTGCTATTTTTTCTCCCTTGCTTTCAGCCTGATGACTAACATCCGATGTCATCAAGGTTTTCAAAGCTTCGGATTTATAATTTACGTAACCTCACAGCGTGTCACAGCTTCTAAGGATCGTTGTAATTCATTACACGTTCGGTTATTCATAGATTATTAGTTAAAAACAGATAAATGTTCTTATGGCAGTAATTAATAACCAACGATAATCTTGTGAATAGTCGTCTGTGAAATATAGCATAACAATTAGAGCAAGAGTTTGTAGTTAAGAAAGGTTCTACTAATGAAAATGACGGTACCATGCTTTGTCTGATAAGCGGGGTAACGCCTCAGTTGTGCTATACTTATCTCTAATTATCAAAGAACGCGTCATAGAATAACATACACTTCAGCTTAATGTGTTCCACAATTTTTGCGACGATTTCATCAGCACGAAATACGAACAACAAGTTTGACTTAAAATTTGTATTTCAGACAATTACGCGAAGGAACGCTGGAAGAAAATCGTTTACAAGATGGCAGTCGGCTCACATTGCTACCAAGCGTGGAAACTGGCCTATTGGTAAGTCAATTACACGTTTTTGGTAATAAAAATCTTACACGCTCATTTAAATTATAATATTGTTACCGATATAAATTTCATTCTTGCTTTTCTCTAATGCAAGCTAACTAATCGTAATTAAAAAACTTTATAAAACATCGTTTAATAAAATTACCAATAAGTAGTTATATCGCAGTGCTAAAAATAGTTGGCAATATATCTTTATGGCGTGTTTGTAATATTGTTCAGAAGTCCAATTTTTGCGATTTCTATTAAAAAATGTTTCTTTTCACCCTACGAGTAATCTATAGGAGAGTTCTCATTTAAATAATTCAAATGATGATGATGATGATGATGATGATGATGATGATGATGATGATAATGATAATAATGATAATAATAATAATAAAAATAAAAATAAAGAAAACGTACTGAGCTGTGATCTGGATAAACGCCGTTAACTTCGCGTAACATTCGGTCACTTGGTTTCTCGGTCACCAGTATCGTCAGTGCTTTATTTCCCAGTAGTATTGCGTCACAGCTTTCTTCATTGATCCTGGCTATCCTTCGATACCATCGTGACACTTTAAAATTATATTTAAAATTATTTCAGTCGCCAAATTTCTCTAACGATTGTACTTACGCGACAATTACAATTCACTTATCTTTAAATCCTTCGTCCAAATCAAAGATATCTACTCGTGTCCTCCATAATTCCTGCATAATCAATTTTTCATTTATTTTACGGTTTCATTTTTCTATATTCAACATGTTATTCGCTCGATTGAAAAGAAAAAAAAAAAGGTTTTTTAAAGATTTCTTTCTCATAGGATCGAAGTTAAAAGAAACAAGTAGCGATTGTTGCTAGATTATTCAATTTAAATTGGTAAAAACGAAGCCGGCTACGCATATGCTGAGTATACGCACATGATATGCATAGGATAATGTGTGGTTGCTCTGTCACTGAAATAGTTGTGTGCTTGCATAGAAGCATTGGCAACAGCGCTGACACACGGGTCCATATCGCGATCGAGACTCATCGCATGGCTGTCAAGGGGACTGTCCACTCAAGTCTCGGTCACTCGCAATTTTAAAGTGTGTCCGTGTATAGCATATACATATATGTATATGCGTGTGCAAAGTTATGCTTTGCAACCACGATTACCGCTACGTACTACTCATATTGTTACACACTCACTATTTTTCCATGGTTGATTATAAAGAAACTAAGCGAGACTTATGCCGCTTTCGAATAACGTAGTCTTGATATAAACACTTTTAACTTTATATTTTGTCCATATAGTTTTGCATTTGCAATCACACAGAAAGATCGTGATTCTAATACATTTTTTTCAACACTATGGAAGTATAAAGTTCTATATGAGTGTACCTGTAAAAATAGTAGTATATAGTTCATAAACATGCAGTAACGGTTCTGGCCTTTATTTGTAGGTTTCTTAATCTCTCAGGTTATATCCTCAGAATGGTTTGAATTTTTATTTTCATTAAAACCGATAATCTAAACCGAAATTTTATGTATATATGTATATATGTGTGTGTATATATATATATATA